AAAAATGGTAAGCACCAGAGTCTGTAGTAAACGAGTTTCGTGATCTAACTGTATATTTATTCACAATGTGTCGAATGCCATGGCTATGGACTGTGATGATCACACTTCGACACTCCAGCTAAAAGCTGAGCTACAACGTGTTTCATGAATGTGCGCATCTTCCTCACATGCCGTATGCCACCACCTCATGTGCTACTTCGAACCTGTAGTTGGGGGCTGGCTTCGTAAATTCATTCAGAGCCGAGTGTTACAGAAGTATTCCGCGACCAACCCCTAATTAGTCGTCAACCAGAAGTGTCCACAGCATAACCTTACTGTACAGCTCACCCTCACCCCGCGAACAACATTGCTAGCAACTACTACTACACCTTTTTTCTATTGAGTTGGGACTTTTTTCAACGTTGTTGGCTTGGCGCTCATTCGAAAGGGCGATGTGTCCATTCATTTGGCCTTGTGGCCAATAGAATTGACACAAAGTGCCGCAACACCCTTTGAAATGTACCATGCTACCAATGGAAAAGGCTCCACTACCCAACAATATGCCAAGTAGCATTTCGAATCTGCCGTGCTTGAAGTTGAATTGGATCGAATATTCTAGAAGGTTGCAGTTGGGCGATCTTCGCGCCCATTTTTTTCACTTTTCAAAATCGCATTCCGTGCACCAGTACGACGTCATCGCTCACGATACACTAACCATGCTCATAGCCACGCAAGAAATACAAACGCATCCCTTCGTCTGGAGTACTTCTACGGTCATGCGGACCGAATGGAAGACATGGAAGTAGGCATGTAGCTGTTTGCTGCAAGTTTCGATGATTTTATCTGCTTTTTTCATGCCGTCGCGTATTTGATAATAAAATTTCATATTCGATCCAACTCAACTTCAAGCACGGCAGATTCGAAATGCTACTTGGCATATTGTTGGGTAGTGAAGCCTTTTCCATTGGTAGCATGGTACATTTCAAAGGGTGTTGCGGCACTATGTGTCAATTCTATTGGCCACAAGGCCAAATGGATGGACACATCGCTCTTTCGAATGAGCGCCAAGCCAACAACGTTGAAAAAAGTCCCAAGTCAATAGAAAAAAGGTGTAGTATTAGTACACCATTGACTTAAATGTTTCGAATGCATGTTAGCAATGTGAACGCCTGCGCTGGTCCTCTGAGATCATTCTCGGCGAAAAGCTCGACGATACAGGTATAGCAATACGAAGGCGATGCGGTCGAACAATTGATACATTCGCTGACGCTGTAGCGCACACATAACCCACGCCCAGAAGTCTCATATAAGCTTCGAAGCCTAAGCCTTACTGGAGATCTTTGCTCCTTCAAACGGAACCACTTCCAAGGTCCATCCACAATAATAACCTCTATAAATAAGTACAACGAGTGAGAACCATTCATTTATTGTCCTTTTACCCATAATTTGGACTTTTGTGCTGATTCGCCAAATCTATCGATCGATTCTTCGACTTTTCGTGAGGTGGCTGGCCTTACTTCTGATTATTAACCAATCAGAGTGCATCATGGTTTCTTTGCCATATAATTGGTCAAGACGATCATTTTTATCGACTTCGAAAATGCAGAAGTGCTAACATGTAAGTTCCCAGCGACTCAAACTGCCACCATCAGCTTAATGCTCAAGTCAGCAGTTCATCGCACTCTCTAGTACACTCACTAGCATTTTTCCTTAGTGCTTATTGAAGTCGACATCGAATGACGAATGGTCGATGCGAATTTCTTGTTAGGAAGGACCAGCAGCATCACTACTACTTCATAGTTTCGGTGGACTGGGGCCAACACCCAAGGTCCTTCCAATTCAAAATGAGGAAGTGATTGGTAAAACTACCGTCAGTAAGAATCATATTATCGGGGCATAGTCACCAAAAGTTTGACCAAATCAAGTCGTTTGCCCGCGACGTTTCGGGGTTTCGAGATCAACGAGTAAATTGCTGTAAACGACCTATTTACAGTACCAGTAGTTGACGGGCTTGGCCCATGTGATTACTTGGTTTATGCCAAGATGCAAAACTAGTAAGGCGACCAAGGTCGGGGACATGTGCGACGGCGCCCTAGCCCAGCACTTCCACCAGAGCGCCCACTACGGCAAGAACAACCACTACCTATGCTGCGACAAGACGAGGACCAAGTCGTACTTCATGACCATCGCCCAGGCTCAAGCGTGCGGATAGGAGCAAGGGATCGCATTCTACAGTCCTGTAGCTCTCAATCCAATAGCTGCAGCCTACAGCAATGTAGCAAAGAGAATAGAACGGTCCTATTGGTCAGTTATTTTCACTTTTCTATCATATAATTGGACAAAAATTTGGTAAGGCAGCCTGCCTTACGAATTCATCAAAAAGATTAAGGGATTTAAAATATTCCCTACAAAGATGAAGCTTCATTCAATAAAATTTGAACTATTTCAGATCGATTTATGGAATTCGTAAGGCAGCTCACCTTGCGAGCCTACTAAAACCTACTGTTTCACCTTACGAATTCTGTATTATGTCCTGACTTTTGCATGTAAAGATCGTCCAGTATCACACTAATTTCATTCAAACACTAATTCGATGTTGAGTTAGTCGAAGAGTGAATTTGATTGGCCACTTGATTAGTGTTCTGGTTTTTGATTGATCGATCGCTTGTCTGCCGATTTGGTGATTCTCCTCATTCGATTGAGAGCCCCACTCCAATTTCGAATCGACTTGACAATAAGTACTACATGTAGGTGGCATCGGACATCAAACCGACAAATTTCAAGTAGGGGATTGGATGACTGATATGAGAGGATTGCATTGGTCGATGCTAATGTCGTTCGTGTACATATCATAAACATTGCGCAATAACATGATGCTATTGGTAGTAATAAACGAAAGCAGTTTCATATCCATTATTATCCAACATGAGTCCGACAGGTAGACGTAGCATCCACAGCTGATCCGTCCGCTTGCTGTCGTGGAGGCGGTAGGCCAAGGGCCAAACACAGCGTAGTGCGCGGTGAGGCCCAGCAGGCTGGCGTAGGAAGCCATATAGCACCGTCGGCTGGTCTGGAGCGCCTTGTCCAGGAGGTGCTTGGTGACCATCCCCATGACTGAGTGGGTGGACTTCGTTGAGTGGTTGAACTTGGGCAGCAAAGTGGTGTAAGTATGTTTTCCCCCCTAAAGCAACGAAGCAACTGTGTTGGATGGATTCATTTCTCAAAAGGCGATTCCTACCGCTCGTTCGGGTCTGCAAGCGTGGCAGCAGTGGTTCGTGGCCGATCCTGGTGCAGGATCAGTTTGTGCCTTGAAGGACTACAGTGACATGATTCGAATAGATCTTGAAGAAACTACTCAGAGCGTCTGACCTTGGAAATGCCATTAACGAAGTACCAATCGTACGACCAGTTTGAAGTAGCATATTCTGGGTTACCAAGTCGTACATTACGCTCGTCTATTCCAAGAGGTTCGTCGTAGGAAGCGACTAGATTCATTGTAATTCAATATGTATTTCCGGGTACTTGTATGTGCGACCAGCCCCGCAGGGCAGATTTGTGTACTTTAAAGCTGTTTTGCCAGAGAAATGGAGCATTCCAGATAGTGGAACGGGTGCAACGTGGCGTCGGCTACGTTTTGGCCTGTCTTTGTAACCTCAGACTACCCCAGACTGCTCTTGTGCTGTGGCCAGGTTTTGTAACTTTTCAATTGTAACTTGACAGAACTTTGACCAATCAAAACAATGTCGAATGAATTTGTCGTTTTTCCACTAACGTTACCAAGTACCAGTACTAGTATACATGCCATACATCGTACGTACGTACTACTGGGTGGTACATACGGTATACTGAAGTACAATCGCAAAGTACATGTACGTAATGCTGATGTTGATGGTAAACCATAGAATTCTCCAAAATCTGTGACAAATCTGCGAGCGTCGCCTGCAATTCTTTCTCAGATAAGCAATGGACGTACAGTAGTACTTCAAACACCAAAAGGTAACGTTACAAATAATTCCGAGCCACACACTGTGTAGTAAATATTTTAGTACTACAGTACGTAGAAGTACCTTAGTACTAGTACCAATGATTTTAATAATGATAATTGTACTGCGTAATACTCCTCGTAATATACTACTCCATGAGCTATGCTTCATTGTGCTTTGGGTGGTTGCAATGCATTGGTGTATCTCAACCCCTGGCTTCACGCATGCCTTCGTTCGTATCAAGGCCTGTTTGACAAATCATATGGATCATCGTTTACTGTTAATGTCAAAGCGTTGACGTTGACGTATACCCAGTACTAGTACTACGTAGTACTAGTACTGAAAGTATAGGTCGGATTGAAAATCGTCACATCAATGACCAAACCTTCATTTGGCGCCGAGCGCCCGGAAGGCCGTCTGCGCAAGCGCGGCCGTACGAGAGCGCGGATCTAAGCTTCTCACTTCACCGAATAATCTATCTTTTCTTCTTGTCGGGCAGCGGCAGGTACTGTAGGCCGTAGGCCTGGATGTAATGACCTAGCATTATCCTAATTTACGCTCATCTCTACTAATTAGGATATGACCTAATATTAATGTTGGATGACGTTTAGATGACGCATGATACTTACTATCACGGATATTTGTAGTAACGACATAATTCGAAGTACAATTTATGTTGCAGCGCAGCGAACCGCTACTGTAATCAAAACAGTAAAGATTACCCCTTTGGTGCAGCACGCCTTGGCTGCATTATTTCTTTGAGGTTCAAACCTGCTCTAATAGCGTAGAAATCTACCGATGGAACAAACCTAAAACTTCTGTGCACTCGGTATGGTATCGCGGGGCCACTTATCGGGTACGGGGGTTGAAGGTGAAATTGCCAGCCATCTATTCTGCCATGGGGTAAGGGTGCGCGTCAACATCGACTAACGCACTCGCATATGATCACATGCGTCCTGTCCCACCGCCACAAACTTGACGGCGACAAGGTTTAATTTCTCATTCTTCAGTTTCCCTCGCCACCAACAAGGGGCCAGGATGAACACAGCCGATCGAGGAATGGATCTGCAAGAGCGTGTGTCGTACATCCAGTCTGCCACCAACGACAAGGACGTAGACGGCTACGACGAAGCCAAGACGCCCTGCCAGCTTGAAGACGGAGCCCTGGTTGAAGGGGGCGCCCTGGACCTGCTCTCTCGTGAAGCCATGGGCCTCTTTGCGCAATACGCCGCCATCGGTGTCATCTACGGCATGATCCCAGCCCTCAACTACCCCATTTTCAACGTGTACCTGCAATTGGAAGGCTACCAAACAGCTTCGTACACCACCCTCGTGACTTTGGGTTGGTCGTTCAAAGTGTTCATGGGCATGTTGTCCGATTGTGTACCGATATTTGGCTACCGCCGCAAGTCGTGGATGTTGATCGGGTGGGTGGCCACGATGATCTGCTTGACGATCATGACGTTCTCTTCGTTGGGTGACCCGTATTGCAACCGCGAAAAGGCTGAGGAGCGAAAGTCCAAGGCATGCTCCAAGCCGTACTCGAACGCGTCGGTGACGGATCTTGACTTGTTCAACACGAGCGCACCGGACAACGGTGGCTTGTTTATCATTTTGTCCATGTTTGTGTCGCTGGGGTACGTCACGGCTGCGTGCGCGTCCGACGCCATGGTGGTGCAGTACGCCCAGCGCGAACCCCTGGCCATCCGCGGTCGAGTTCAAACGGCCATCTACACGGTGCGCACCTTAGCCGGCATCATCGCATTGATCGTGACCGGGTTCGGGCTGAACGGTGTCAACTACAACGGGTCGTTCTCATTCTCGATGGCCCCCAACGTTCCGTACGCCATCTGTTTGATTCCGTGCGTGTTCGTAGTGCTCACGACGGTGTTTGTCGTCCAAGAGACGAAGACGCCGGCCATTCCGTTCAAGGTGTGGGTGGGCAACTTCTGGGACTTGCTGCAGAAGCGCGTGATGTGGCAGATTTGCGCGTTCCGGTTCATCAACAACATGTTCCAAAGCATCGGGTCCACGGCGGGGTCTCCTATGTCCAGCATTTGGGCTGACGTCGAGCCCTTGAATGACTCGTTGTCGGCTATCATTGGGAACGCCATCTTTTCCGCCATCTTGATTGTGGTGGCGAAATGGGGATTACACTGGAACTGGCGGTGGACCATCGCCCTCGGCACCATCGGGGTCATTCTCATCGATGGGATGGTTATCTTTTTCACGATCTGGGACGTGGTACGCAACCAGTGGTTCTACACGGGCGTAGCGTTGGCCGACAACATCCCGGGTGGCGTGCGCTTCATCGTGGCGACGTACTGCGCCGTGGAAATCGCCGACGTCGGCAACGAGGGGGCCACGTACGGCTTGGTCACGACCGTGTCCAACTTGGCGTCTCCGTTTGCCTCCGTGCTCTACAAGTATGTTGATTCGTACTTGACACTGTCGCAAGACGACCTCAAGTCTGACACGACCGCCGTGCGCTGGGACGTGACGTACTCGTACTTTATCGCGTTCGGGTGCAAGTTGTTTGCGTTGACATGGTTGTGGATGCTGCCTCCTCAGCGCCCTCAAATGCAAGAGCTCAAGAAGAAGGGTGGCAAGAGCAAGTTGGCCGGGGTCATTTTGATCGTGGTCTTTACGTGTTGCTTGTCGTTCTCGGTCACGACCAGCATCATGTCGATCTACCCTTCCACCAAATGCTACCGCATTGCTGGTGGCAACGGCAAGTTGGACCCCAACACTAGTAAATGTCCATTGGTCAAGGCCAAGAAGGGCTAGATGCACTCGGATCACCCAGTAGTGAGTCATAAAGATATGTTACATTAAACAATTGTGCAGTATTCAATCAATGTGTTGAATCTGACAGGGACTGTCGAGGTCCATCTTAGAAGTTCCTTCAGCTAAATATGTAGTAGCATATCCCATTGAATGGGACCATGCAGCTGAAAGAAGGCTGATTGTACCCCCGCACACAACAATTGTAATCGAGCGCATGTATACGACGTATATTAGAATCGATCTCCGGTTTGAACCCTGCGACCGCCAAACATGGCAGCATGTCGGTTGCTCATTTTCAGCATCAGTGTGCCACCAATGGGCATCACCCACATCACCGCCTGCAACTCGTGGCGGCGTTCATGTTAGCGTTGGTTCCACGAGAACTCGCTGTGACAAGAGCTATAGCTTGTTTGTATATTCAATGACTGATGAGGGGATGGGTGATCAAGCATTCGATGTACTGTACGTATGCCTGCACCATGGGCAGGGTCGGGGCCTCAGATGGCTACGTCGATTACGATCCTCGTTATATGAGTCTTCCCAAAACAGTATCACATCACTTGGACGAAATCAGTGAGGCCTTTTACCAAAAATCTGGACTTGCTGATTCGCCAAATGTATCAATAACGTTAGACTCATTGTAACGTTATTTTTGTATGAAAAATCCTCCTCTGTCACACTACTAGTTTAAGTCACACACTAATTCGATGTTGACTTGGTGGAATAGTGGATTCGATTCGCTACTTGATTAGTGATCTGGGTTTTGATTGGTCGATGCTGCTCATTTGATTGACAGTAAGCATCCCACTCCAATTTGAATCGACTTGACAATCGAATACAGTACCAGTATACTGTAGTACTTACTTAGCAAATCGATTTGAGAATGAACTAGCCAATCAAAATCCATTCTAAACCCCTTTTACAAGATTTCTGAATGGTTCAGCCAATCAAAGTCATTTCTAAAAAACCCGTTGCAGGTTTGAACTGTCAGTCAAATTCTCATTATCCAATTTGCGAAGCAATGTTCACCGGCGCCATAAACTCATCGGTACAACACGCGGTCGTCATAATCCCGCCCCCCCACCAACTCATGTCTTCTCATACCGTTGGATCCAGTTGGAGATGGTGGTACTCACAGACTTGCCAAAGACACAAGCAATGGCTGATGCCTAGGAAGTAGTAGCGCATGCATGATGGTACTTCTGGACGCATGTTGATATATGCTGGACGTCCTGCACGTTCATGCCGTCGATTGAAATTTGGGAAAGTACTGTGAGAAAGTCGGAGCGTATTGAGCAATACAGTACACCATTGTTCGTAGACATTAGTGAATACAGGATATATTGCCAAGTTCATTCAAAACCGGTTTCACTTTTGGACTGACAGTGAACAGTCCAAATTTGAGTGAGAAGGACAATATGAGACAGCAGTACAGATTTTAAAGTAGCATTGTAGTTTTGAGTCATATGGAAATATATTTAACGAATCATATTCAATGTTGCATCAAAATCTAATTTAATTGGCTAAAATTGTATTTCGCGACAAAAACATTTTAACATGTAAATCGAGCCAGCGGTGAGTGAGCTCGTGGGTTGAATGCAGACCATCGGCCCCAACCAGAAAGCCCGCAAGGCATACTCCATCGGATTGAAGATTGAGATGCTTGGCCTCCTTCAAGACAGGAATCCTACAATCCATTGGTTTGGTTTCATGAGTAGTACAGGTATGTATGCTGGTGGGCAAGTAAGAACAATCGAAAACTAGTGATGTGAACTTTATTGAACGACACTACTGAACACCTTTAATATATAACCAAGGACTAGGTCGGTTAACCCTTCTTGGCCTTCACAGCGGGGCAGCCACCCGTGTTGGGGTCCAACTTGCCGTTGCCACCAGCAATGCGGTAGCATTTGGTCGAAGGAAAAATTGACATGATGCTGGACGTGACCGAGAATGCCAAGCAGGACGTGAAGATCACAATCAAAATGACCCCGGCCAACTTGCTCTTGCCACCCTTCTTCTTGAGCTCTTGCATTTCAAGGCGCTGGGGAGGCAGCATCCACAACCATGTCAACGCAAACAACTTGCACCCGAAAGCGATAAAGTACGAGTACGTCACGTCCCAGCGCACGGCGGTCGTGTCTCTCATGAGATCGTCCTGCGACAGTGTCAAGTACGAATCAACATACTTGTAGAGCACGGAGGCAAACGGAGACGCCAAGTTGGACACGGTCGTGACCAAGCCGTACGTAGCCCCTTCGTTGCCGACGTCGGCGATTTCCACGGCACAGTACGTCGCCACGATAAAGCGCACGCCACCGGGGATGTTGTCGGCCAACGCTACGCCCGTGTAGAACCACTGGTTGCGTACCACGTCCCAGATCGTCATAAAGATGACGAACCCATCGACGAGGATGACACCGACGGACGCAATGGCGATGGTCCACCGCCAGTTCCAGTGCAATCCCCACTTGGCGACTGCAACCAAGATGAAGGAAAAGATGGCGTTCCCAATGATAGCCGACAACGAGTCGTTCAAGGGCTCGACGTCAGCCCAAATGCTGGACATAGGAGACCCCGCCGTGGACCCGATGCTTTGGAACATGTTGTTGATAAACCGGAACGCGCAAATCTGCCACATCACGCGCTTCTGCAGTAAGTCCCAGAAGTGACCCACCCACACCTTGAAGGGAGTAGCCGGAGTCTTCGTCTCTTGCACGATGAACAACGTTGTGAGGACGACAATCACGCACGGAATCAAACAGATGGCGTACGGAACATTGGGGGCCATCGAGAACGAGAACGACCCGTTGTAGTTGGTCCCGTTCAGCCCGAAACCAGTCACAACCAACGAGATAATGCCGGCTAAGGTGCGTACTGTATAGATGGCCGTTTGGATGCGGCCACGGATGGCCAGCGGTTCGCGCTGGGCGTACTGCACCACCATGGCGTCGGACGCACACGCAGCCGTGACGTACCCCAGCGACACAAACATGGACAAAATGATAAACAAGCTGCCGTTGTCTGGCGCGCTGACGTTGAACAAGTCGAGATCCGTCACCGACGCGTTCGAGTACGGCTTGGAGCACGCCCTGGACTTTCGCTCCTCAGCCTTTTCGCGGTTGCAATATGGGTCGCCCAACGACGAGAACGTCATCACACTCAGACAGATCATAGTGGCCGTCCACCCGATCAACATCCACGACTTGCGGCGGTAGCCAAAGATGGGAAAACAATCCGAGAACATGCCCATGAACACTTTGAACGACCAGCCCAACGTCACGAGGGTGCTGTATGACGCCGTCTGGTACCCTTCCAATTGCAGGTACACGTTGAAAATGGGGTAGTTGAGGGCTGGGATCATGCCATAGATGACGCCGATAGCGGCGTATTGTGAGAAGAGGCCCATGGCTTCGCGGGAGCACATGTTGAGGGCACCACCAGCCACCAACGCGCCGTCTTCGAGCTCGCCAGGGGTCTTAGCTTCGTTGTAGTCTCCGTCTTTCGGTTCGTCGTCTTTGGTTGCCGAGTGAATATACGACACTCGCTCTTGCAGGTCCAAGTCTTTGCCAGTGTTGTGGACACTCATGGCTTCTAGCACTGTGCTGGAAAATTGAACAATAACTAGTTGGGACCAGGACACGTTGTTAGAGATTGACACTGATGCATCGTTTATGTGGCAAGGTATGGTTTCTGATCGCCAATACTGAACGTCCACACCTTTTGACAAAAGATACGCGTGTCAGTGAGCCAGGGCGCTAGCCCCCCCGGGGGGTACTGTACATCTAGGACACGCCGATGGATTCAAGGCATGAACGTTCATGTGTAGGCTGCTACTGTGATACAAATGTGGCTGGGAAAAACTGTGCAGTATCTACCTATTAGTACATTATTGCTGCAGTGTTGTTGAATGGATGTGATTAGCTCTTGGTGCAATACTAACGTAGGGTCAAGGGTTCAACTCCCTTACTCCTCATCTTTTTTATCCATCATAGTACAGTAGTACCCATTGCCACGATCTGGAGTTGACGAAAGTTCAACTTCGCGAACTATTGACTGTGAATGACGCAAGATACAGGTGTGGTTGTGCTCCGGAGTATTCTGGAGTACTTCGGAGTATGTAGTGGTCTGGCCCCATAACAACGACCCATGAAGGAGATGTGTTGAGATTGTTTGCCAAACTCATAGTGGCGCAATACACTGCGACAGAGCTGGGTTTGCTTTGGGGTAGGGGTACAGTTATTTTCGTACATGTTGTGTCCAAGATCTGATTTCACCTTGGCATACATAGATGGTGACATTCGAAAAGTTACTCGATTCATGGCTATGCGCTCAAAAAACAATTACAAAGAAGGGTCATGGAAGCTTGAATATTGCCGAACATTTCGGTTCTACTGGTACTATTTGAACCAAGATATGTAACTTGAAGTTTGTATTGGACTTGCTTATGGCATAAAAGGTGGTGTTTCATCGCGTGGCTATGTCTGTCTGCCAAAAGTACGAAAGACCAGATCGTTTCAAGAAATACTACTACTGTAGTACTGTAGTATGTACTACTGTAATACTTTGGTGACGTTAGTACAGTACCTGTACTGTAGTAGTATGTCAATTAGCGCACTTTGCGGGGTGTTGTCGCCCACACTTAAGTACAGTGCTCGGCGAAAAAACGCAGTCAGTGCTACTGTCAAGGTCATTTCATAAATGTATGGAAAGTGTTATTGAGCTGAAGTGTAATAATATTAAATTGGTGATGGCTGAAACGGGGCTGACCAAATGCATCCTATTCGATAATAAATGTTTAGTATTGTCCAGTCAGATTCAGGTATTAGTGCAGTGTAACGTTACGACCGACATGTCGCAAAAACGGTCAAATTCACGAATTGCACAAAATGGACATGCTCATTGGATTCAGGAGGGGGGTTTACCCCGAGAACCCTCCAACCTACTATAACAAGATCGCTGCCTACTATAACAAGATCGCTGCCAGAGGCGTGAAACTGGGCGATGGCTGCCTTACGATCACTATTCACGTATCGATGCTGCTGCACCTTCACCTTGAAGGGCATGTTGGACTTTGATGTTCAAAATTGATATTTGATTTCTATTTCAAATCGTAATCAGAAAGGCTTCATTAGTACAATTTTATTTTATTGCAAAGGCCAACACATACTGCGTTTTTTCGCCGAGCACTGTAGATGTGTCGCGCTTCGGTGCCTGACAGCGGCCATCTCCTCGTAGCTATGGGAGAAATACTCCACACCACTCATCCTAATTCCCCTGTTCTGCGTTCTAGTCCTCCTGAACATCCGCTGTATCTGGTCGCTACCCTCCTCTTCCCCCACTACTGTAAGTGCTTGGGCCTACTTTGCCCATCGTGACAAATTCCAGTGCAGTCATTCATCCCCAAACGTTTGAAGTCTAGTATAAACGAATATCCTGCGTAATCCAATAGTATATTCAATTTAACAGGATTATAAAAATTAGTACCTGAGCATACTGTATCCAGAGCCAGCAAGTGTCACCGCAGACGTTATAATTCTCCCATACTTCATAACCCTTGCACATAAGTACCTCTGTAAGGACATATTTCTCAGGATATTTCTCAGGATGTCGGGGGATGACTGTAATTCCCTGAGAGCAACAGTTCCACTGGTTCTTTTTATGTCATAGTCAAGTCCAAAACAACGCATTCCACCTAACGTTAGGGGTTAAGTGAGTATTGTCCAGCCCAACACGACCATGGATAACTCCGAATGTGCTACAGGCAAATTGCACAGTTGTGGGTTCATTTATTGTAACGTTAATAGCGTGGTTTGTTGTTTCGAATATTTGTATAACCTTACTATACATTTTCTGGTATATAATGCTGTACCAGGTTACAGTAACAACGGAGTACATATAGGTACAGGTGGTGATCTATTGCGTTCTGAAAGGTCGCGATCGAAAAGATATCGCTTCCAATTCTATCAAACTTCACATGGCCGACGTGGAATCTACCGGCCCGACGGTGGCGGCGACGGCGCCAGTCGCTGCGTCCAAGAACTCTCAGGTGATCAAAGTGTACATGCCGACGTACATCATGGCTCCAACGGAAGACGAACGGTGAGCAAGCACACTCTCCCAACCAACCAACCTCCATGGAATGACGAGTTATGTGCAGGTTTCGACGCAAGACTGTGTGTGCAATCGTGTCGGATTGTCTGGCCAAGGAGCTTGGGAACAAAGAGTACGACGAGGACGACTCGAAGCTCTGGTGTGCGTCCATCGCCGACGCTGTCAAAAGCCGCATTCGCAGTATACTACAAGTCACGCGGCGTTGATATATATACTCACGACGGTTGTTTGTGTAGCCGAGTGCAACTTTCCTCGCTACAAGATCATTGTCCAAGCATTTGTGGGCCAGCAAAAGCTGCAGGACGTACGCATTGCGTCGCGGTGCCTCTGGGACAACGACCATGACAACCACGCATCCGCCGAATACGCCAACGTAAGCTTGACATATCTGACTTTGACCTTTTCGCTGATCGAATCGCTCTCGTGCTGCCACGTGTGTGTGTACATATACCATCGTTCACATGGCTTGACAGGATGTATATTTGTGGCTGTAGCAATCGATTTGGGCGACGTGTATTGTATTTGGTATGTACGCCGATTAACAGCGTAACCAAGACTACGACATCGCGAGTAAACTACGTTACCTTCCACAGCCAACGATAGTCTAAGCCATACAAATGAATCGTTTCGTTGCAAACTGGGGCATAGTTGCTGCGCAACTGTATGGCAAACAATGAGGTGGTGGCCACTTTATACAATAACAGTTACACACTAAGGGTAAGTCGTCGCCAATTGCTACTACTACACGCAGCTGCCTTCACAGTAGTAATAGATAGGGGTAATATTTTGATTAGGGGACTGAATCTACTTTTGACATGACCGTTCATGCCGACTGCGCCGCAATGGCTTCCTTGGAGATCTGTAGATCCATGTCCTCTTCGTGTGTACACAGGGTATGCAAATTGTCAAGCAGCAGCCGCACCTCCATCTTGAGCTCGATCGCGTTTGGGTACGTGATGAGCTTGAGCGACTTGGCGTGGAATTGCGAACTGCCCGACAATTTCAAGTTGATCAGTGCTTCCCGCTCCGTGGGGCCATCTCCAATGGAGATGATGTGCTTGGGAACGACGTCGGTCACGTTGTCGCAGAAGTACACTTCGTGCTGAAACGCCTCAATCTTCCACTTCTTCGGGGACCCAGGGTACAAGTCTTCATACGTCGAGCGCGCTGACACGACCTTGATGTGTTCGCTGATGATGGGAAGGCACCGGGGCATGAACAAAGACGCAGAGAGTTCAACCCATCCGGTCTCTGCGGCGGTGATGATCACCACGCGGCCGTACTTGACGGCGCTCTCCAACAACTCAACCACGCATTCTTCGAGTTCTTCCAGCTGGGATTTCACGTCGTCAGGAATGGCAGGCTTCTCGTTGACGTACTTTGGCCGCAACCCGAGCTTACCGACCCATGTCGATGCCAGCAACGTGTCGTCTAGTGTCAGACGTAATGGACATGATCGACGACAGCATGCAACGCAACCGTACCCCAGTCCAAGAAGATCACAGTGTCGTTGTTCATGTTGCCAAGGATGGGCGTATCCGTAGGGAACATGGTATCCACAGGGAAACCGTTGGGAGCCATCGCGTCTCTGGTGATGGTGCTGGTGTTCTCGGCAGTCGAGACCAAGAATGGTGTTACCACACGGCGTACTTACGCCTGCGATACGCTTCTGCCATTCGGAGTTTTTACTGTACTTAAAATCAAGAGTTTAAATGTTCACTTGATATTGGTATGCAATACAATAAACGCCCAATTCCGCCAAATGACGTGTGTAATTTTGTATCAAGTGTGTTGAGGTTTGCCCTTTGGTTTTGCATAGTCAAATCAAGTGATTTGCCCGTTTTGAGGCCCAAAGCCCTCCAAATATACGTTTTCGCAGGTACACCACTCCAGGCGCTTTGCCATGCGTTTCTGATCCCATACTTGGCGACTCCGAAAATTCCGACGGCGACCACCCCAAGGATCAAATGCATTGAACCTTGGCGTTCCAGCTTACAACCTACGTCATCCTGATGTATATCCCCCTAATAGGTTAAATTTAGTTGACTGTGGCCAAGCTGTGTATACCGGTAGTATAGCGTATTCGCATCATTGATGCATCTAACTTGAGGCATTTCACATGCCAGCGAAATAATTATGGAGTACTCTACGAAATAATATATTCAGAGCAATTTTAAGCGGCAACCAGCCCTTGAGCTACAGTAGGTACTGTACTAACTGTAAATATCATGTCTTCTCTCGCTCCATGTGCCAAAAGTGACCTGCACTTTGCACCCCCACTCATGATAAAGTGATTTCATTGGATGAATACCCATGGTTTTCTTGAATACATTGGTTTGATTGGCTGCTTTCACCGATGACATCGTGGTCTCACATCCATCTGTGGAACTTCAATGTGACCTATCCAAGCAAACCTGTGGTACCAGCACAAAAGCAGCATAAGCTTACAGCATAACGCGACTGGTACTGTAATTCGTACGAATGAACGACCATCATACATTCTTGCGTTTACAATTTACAACAACTTAACAACTCAAATAAACTCGGACGACACGACGTCACAGTCATCCCATTTTTTGGAGGTGCCGTTGTCGCCCCCAACAGGCACGCACTTCCACCCAAAGTAGAAAAATGCACCGAGGCAGCAGTAGAACGCCGCACGAATGTACGCGCCATCGATGGGAATGTCAAACGCGTACAAGAAGATGGTCGTGCAAAACAGGGCGAGGGCGACGCTGGTGGCCATTTCGCGTTTGCGGAGGGGGAGCATGTACTTGTCGGCAAACAGGTTTCGACGCAGGACGACGGCAGAGAAGCCGGCGAGGACCATGAGCAACGAGTACGTGTGGGTCGCGGGGCCGTCTTTAAGTTTGAGGATCCACGCCAGGGAAAACCCGGCGTAGCGCAGCACAATGTTGACGTTTTCGTTCTTGATGGACAACAAATGCACGACCAAGAGGTACAAGAACGACAGCCACAGCACGTCGAGCATGCCGTTCCATTGGTCCGTCGTGAGGAACAGGGGGGCGTCGGTCGTGCGTTCGTAAACGTCCGCGGCGTTGGCCAAACATGACACGACGACGTGGAAGATGCCAATGAACATTTCAAAGTGGCGCTGGTTCTGCTTCATGATGGCAATGGACGGGATCACAGACAAGTCGGACGCCACACGCAAGGGGAAGCCAATGCCAAGGCGCGCTACCGACGATAGAATCTCCATCTTGCGGTCGGGTGTGTGTGTGTGTGCGAGAGGTAAAGGTAGTTTTATAATATGACCGCTCTCAAGGATATCGGACGGCTTTTCAAAGGTTGGCGGGGGCAATCATGCTATCGTTCTGTCGTTCGACAAATTCGCCAATCAAGAATGCTCCAAGATATATCGACCGTGTCCCTCTGGCTGTATCATGGATCTTTTTCGTGTCCCTTCGCACATTTTTAGCATTGTACCTATGTCGGTCGGTATTCTGAGGGGGCGAGCGACTGCACTTTGGCCGTCAAAGTCGTGACAGCGCCATACTACCGGTAGTACAGACTTGACTTCGATGTTAACGTTTTTCAAGATATAGTATTCCTTGTAAGGTTGTTTCGAAGCAAAGTACTGGTATATTTCAACTGCACATACTACATACAGAACGAACACAACTCTTTGGTACTATGTGGTGTTGTTCACACACAAAAGTGCACAGCACCAGAATCGGTGCCCACGGCTACCATGTGTCGCAGCACCACGACCGACTGAATGGTTTGTCGTGGTGGTGGTAACACGAGATCTTGCCACGTCATCTGGACACTCCGAGTTGGTGGCGACGGCCACAGGCATTGGAAGGCGAGTTTCGTACCATGGCCAACCACTAGCCACGTCGACTGATCGGATTTTCGCGTCGTACAGAGCACCTGACTAGATTGAATCTCGTCCGGTAGGTTGGTCACGTACAGGATGGGATGGCAGGACGGCCACCGCCACAGAATCGCCTGCTTGTCGGTGGCTCCCACAGTAACAAACGTCGTGTCTGACACTTGGGCAATGAGCACGACCTTGGCCAGTGGATGGGGTTGCCATCGGCAATGCGCTCGACCTGTCCATGGATCAACCACGTCGACGTGGCCAGTAGTCGACCCCACGGCAAGGGACCCAAACAAAGCACCGAGGCTGGATATGCAACCGCCGCCGTTTAGTGTCCACTCTGTCGTCAATGTTGGATCTAGCACATTCATCCCAGGGAGGTTATCGACGGTATGTGTTGCAGTCGCCGCCGCATCTTGGTCCTTGTTATTCTGTTTTTCGCAATGAGGATAGTACCACGGCACGTTGTCCATCGAGTGCATCACCACCGTGCCAGCTGTAGCAACAGCTACTACTACATATCCGCAACTACCGGTACGAATGAAACGAGTAACTACATGCACGGCCACGAGCGGTTGCGCTGGTCGTTTCCATTTCCATATCGGAGCCGTCATCGTGTTGTTGTCGGCGTGGGCGTTGACAATGTACACGGACTGCGCGTCACAGAGCACCATGTGGTAGTGCACCAAGGCGGGGGTGGGCCCCCCAACGCCAATGGGCAAAATCGTGTGCACCGGCCATTTGAATTGCTCTTGCCACTGCATAGTCATGTTAGCCGTCCGCCACACTCGGACCACGCCATCACTCGTTGATGTAACCAGCCATCGACCGCCGCCATCTGCAGCCATCGCCCGTACGCGGCGTGTACGTGCGTCTCGGTTAATTTCGTGCACGACGAGTCCCTTGGGGGGCCACGGCATGGTATATGTTGTCCATCGGGGGGGCAGTGTGCTCCGTCTCGTGGGCGGGGGACGACGGCGCGCCAAGACCTGGCAGGCCGCCTCGGTCGTCAGCGCCATCGCCGGCGACAAGTGCGCCACAGGGAGGAAGGAGATGGGGGCAAGGAGTGGCAGCTTGAAAGGCGTGGCGGAGGACATGGACCACGGCAGCCCCAGGCACGAGTCAAAGTGTTCAAACCCGACCAAGTGCTGGAACTGCGTCATGTACGACGGGAACTGGGCGTGGGGAAACCTCACGAGGAATAGCCGCAGCGGCGCGCACAAGTGCAACCTCGTGGCGTCGGTGCCCACGACCTGGCCGAGCCGCAGCACCGTGTGTACGAGGCTACTCACGACGACCCAGTCCCCCCGCACGGACGACGACAGCAACGCGACCGTGGCAGGGATGTGGTACGCAGCGACGTCCCCCGGCAAGAGCGACACCAGTTGGCGGATTGTCTTGCATGTCATGTACACGTCAATGTGTTGTGGCGTCTAGATCCGGGGGGAATAACAATGATATTTATATGAAAACACAAGGCGTATACGTGTGTGTATATGACATCGCCAAACATATGGCTGGCAGCAGCATGTGATTCAAGTGCAACAAACATACCAAGGGAGTTGTAGTTGGAGGAGGACTAACAGGGGGCGACCAAGCATCGTCATCTTCGAGTACACGAATCCCTTTCAAGACACGTCGATACAGTGGTGGCAACACCACCGTGTGCAGGACCGTCGGATGTAGCTCGGCACAAATGTGCACAAGGGCGAGTCCGACGCCATTGGGTGAAAAGTGCACGGGACTAGGGCTTGGCAATGCTGCGGGGGGGAGGTCCCCTAGCGCGATCACGGACGGCAACACCTCGTGAGCGACCACTACGGGCCCCATGTAATCGCCTTGGGCCCATTGCCCCTAGTAATATTCCCAAGTCAGTTCGAAGTTGGAGTGGGATTTTCAATCGAATGAGCAGCACCAAATCGGCAGACAATCGATTGACCAATCAAGACCCAGATCAAGAATCAAGAAGCCAATCAAATCCACTTTTCGACCAATTCAACATCGAAGTAGTACGTGAGTGAAATTAGTATGACACGGGACGACCATTACACCCATACGTCAGTACAAACAATCGATCGATAGATTTGGCGAATCAGCACTAAAGTCAACAAAATATGGGGTAAAACGACAATACTAGTAGATATTCCCAATATTTTGAATGTGACACAGAGTTCTAGTTGGAGGAGACTGGGAAACTGGACGCAACCAGACAAACAACTACACGATCGGCCGTACCAGCGTATGCGCCACCACTCGCTTCAGCAAAGGCGAGCCGACTCGAAGCCATGTCAACAACACGGGCAGGATGTGGTCGAGTACGAACGAAGTGCCAAGGTGGTGCCACACATTCCGCAGCCATCCTAAACCACTAGTTTCCACAGACGAAGCCAGGCTCACTTGCAACGCAATGTCATCGACATGATCCAACAAAGTTGTGATCGGGCGGAGGATCAACATGTGAAACGCCAGTTGGTCCAACCATACGTGGCTCCATGTCGGCAGCAGTCGACGCACGGCATCGGCTTGCTGCGGCGGCGTCGATCGCGCCAGGAGGCGGCGGATGGTGGGCACGACCAAGGGGATGCCGTCCCGAGGCAGAAAGTACTTGTCTTTTGACTGCCACAGATCCACTGTGTGGTCGACCCAGTTGTCCAACGTGACGCTTGCTAAATACGCCCACACTGTGCCAAAGTACGGTGGAAATCCAATGCTCTACAAACCACGAGCCACCGAGATGGTTAAAGATATTTCAAAGAACCACGAGGTTAATCATTTACGCTTGTAAGGTGATTAAACGACTGAACGGCCAACGATCTCGTGGCTGGATTCGGGTGGAGGAGAGCGACGACAACGCGCTACGTACAGTAGAGAGAGATAGACATAGGTTTAGCAACTCATTCGCCCTGAACGTGTTGTTGTTATGAATACAAATATATATGTATATCCCCCACGAGCTGAATATATAAATATATATTTTAATATATATGTATCCACTGCGTTTTGTTACGAAGGACGTACTCGAATCGGTGTGGGCAACGACGCGAGTTGCGGAAGTGCTTTGTGGACCGAAAACGACTCACCATACAATTTCCCACCAAGTGCAAACTCGACGATAGAATGGCCGGAAAACAACGGGCGCTTGAGATACAGTTCTGCGACGATGCACCCGACAGAAAACCACGACCCAGCAACTCCACTGTCGTCCAACGTGTACGCAGGCGACAACACTGTCGCATACCGCGCTCCAAACGACTTGGCCGTCGGCAGCTTTTTGTGTCGCGCATGAAAGCCGTTCAATGACACCCCACGATGTGGTGGCTTTTCCTACAATGTATGCCGTCATCCACGATCATGATCCCACACACGAATACAGCAAATTACATCGTTCTACTCATATTATTGTGTTTAATCTAAACTGGACCGACATGGAACACAACCAAATGTACACAAGAATCGGCACAAGGATTTAGCCAATCGGATTGCAGGAAACCATCCTCAACGTCAAATTAGTGTGTGACTTCAATTAGTGTGATACCCATCACCATTTTTTACATACAAAATTCAGCACAAAGCATCGATCGATGGATTTGGCAAAGAATCAGCACAAAAGTCCTCATTTTGGGTAAAACGACAATACACAAGAGCAACAAACCTTGCGACCAGATGATTGTCGTGCGGCGGGGCTACTTCTTGGTGGCGCAAAGTACTCTTCGTCCACGACTAACCCGTGGGTGGCTGCGACATCGTTGCGTTGTGGGGATGATGTAGTATATGTGTGGTCATTGGGTCGCGTGGTCTGAGACGTGGTTCTGGGGGGATGCGGGTGGTGAAACACCTGGACAAACCCCATGTGCGGAACGTTCTTGTGTCGAACGGCACTGGCGCCGCTGAGATGCACCCCGAATGTGACATCGATCCACGCATGCAAGTGCGCCGACACGAACGGACTCTCAAGGACGCGGCGGTGGTACGCAATGCATGTGTCTGGCGTACTGCACCACGACGGCAAGTCCAGGGACAGCATGTCGTCGTGACAAGACACTAGCACACTCGGGTCAAGGAAGAGCTCGGGGATACACTCGTCTGGCGACGATGCTGCCATTTTCGCTAGCGATGTCGGGTATTCCCTGGGTTCAAACGTCGACCTCACGACGCGCTGCAGCAGTGCCCGAGGTAGCACTCGCGCCAAGTAGATGGCCACGGACAGGTCGCTCAAGCTAGAACCACATTCAACACATATTAGGTAGGTGGTGCTACCGAAGACTACATTGATTTGTAGTGTACTTTTCAGGAATGTGGTGCCCCGTGTGGCGGTACATCAGGTCCAAGTGGTCGTCGCCCTTGGTCAAGCGAAATTTGGACATGGTTAGGTCCCGCAAGTGATGATGACAGGTGCCGTCGTCGATATATGGCAACGTAAAGTCGGTAACCCAAGGAAGCACGGCATGTGCAGTGGTGGACGCCTGAACAGATGACTTGTGAATCAGACTTGAAGAATCACAGGGTATACGGTCGTGGTTCGTACAATCGACCGGCCAGCTGCAGCGTTGACTGCCATGAGGTATTCGAGGTTTGAGATGTCTCCAGCACACCATTGCTCGGTCATGCTTTTCCTAGATGTCACCGTTGTCGACGACGGAGAAGAGTACGTGGCGGCATGGAGCGCAACAGGGCAGACTTGTGCGAGATCGAGATGGGTGCGGTCGTCGTGCATATACACAAAGCTATGAGGAGATAGCGCGGATGGCCGAGTTTTAACCACGGGGGGTCTGCCATCATGACTGGATTCGATGGCGAGAAGCAGCACCTGGTAGACGGTGAAAAGTCGAGTAGATACGACATCGTCGTCTGCCTCCTAGTGAACGTAATGAGACTGGCTGCCCGTTGGGTTGGAGGATATAAGGGGTACCTTGGACGATGTATTACGTATAGAGTGCCTGTGCTGGACAAGTACATCATGCAGCGATGCATTTCTTGGCGGGCAAACGACGTACACGGTTCCAGTGGTGGCATGGACCACTGACTGCACGTGTTTCGACAACGGAGGGTTATCCCAATCGATAGTTGTCGAGAAGTCAGCATGACGTGAATCGCCAACTTCCTTTAGTATGGCTTCAAGTTCCGTTGCCCGTCGAGCATGACCGAGATCGTCGAGAGAAGATGATTCTGGTCGATGATGGGTCGCCGAGGTGTTGTGAGCGTACACGCACCATTCACGGCCGTCTGGCGAGTACACGCGATAGAGTGCATAGATGGAGGATGTGTCATTGGTTGCATAGGATTCCGTGTGCATGGGGAAGACGCATTCCACGTCCAAGTCGCGCCGCACGATCTGTTTCCGCTCATACCAAGACATCGGCATCACTTATGGCTCTTCTATTGGCGATCGCTGACTGGTGGAATTCTAACCAATCGAGATCCACAATACATTATGGTATTTTGAACTGTATCAAGCTCATTTAGATTAACATTAACAGTAAATATATTAACTGTAAGTCCTTGAATGGAACTGTCTACCAGCAATCGGACGCCTTGATATATTTGTCTATAAACCCAACACAGCGGTGTCTTCCTTTCTTGTATATAGCGCTGCATACTATATACTAGTTGCGAAGAACATGTAGCATTCCCATGAGGCACCATAAAGTAAGGTTATACCAAATTAGTGCCAAATGAAGAACAGTAACCTGTAAAACAGAATACTGAAAGACACAGTATTGGTGCAATGCAGCGATGCCATTGGTCCAATTCAACAGCCAATGGGATTGCTGCCTCTCAAAACACTTTCTCGGTTGGCCACCGCTGAGTTTTCGAAATCGCGATGACGACTGGTGTCCTTCTTCGAGCCTGCCGCGGAGTGGCGGCGGCAGCGGCGCCCCGACTTCGTCCGTCCAGTACGATGTTCATGGCCTCTTCTGTCCGCTTCTTCAGTGACGGTACATAACTCTCATCATGCAAGCTTTTCAGCTCACCGTACGTGATTGTAGAAAAAGTGCCAACCAACACAGGACGATGGGTTGTGGGGGACTCCGCGACTACGCCGTTGACCGGCAACGACTCGGACTTGCTCAAATTTGTCGACCAGGACAGTACCGAGACTCCGTCTCATGTATCTCCCTTGTCCACGCCTGAAATCCTGCGTGTCGGCAGCGGCGACGACGAGGAAACGCTGGTGATTCCGGGTGTGGAGAACGACTTGGAGTCGTTTGAGGTGGCGGAGGACGACGTCGACGACATCGACGACGAGTACGACGACGACGAAGATGTGTCGTCGCTCCAAGACCAGGTGTACGAGGACTGGAATATCGACGACAACGACCTGATCTTGCCGGAAATGATGAACTGGATGCTGCCCAAGGCCCAGCGCGAGCCACTTCGTGCCCCCAAGGAAAAGATCTGGACCGAGTTTGTCAAGGCTGACTTGGACCCCGTGGAATTGGCGCTGGTACGACAACTTGTGTCGCTCGTTGCTCGGATTGACATTTTTGAGTTGCTGTAGAACGTCGACCTGCTGCGACTGTTCATCTCGCCCACCGGCCGCATGCTGCCCCGCCGCTTTACCGGTCTCCGCGCCAAGCAACAAGTAAGTGTTCATAGCCCTCATGACGTAGTTTGGCTAAGGCTTCGTCGTGTAGCGCCAGTTGGCGGCTGCGATCAAGAATGCGCGTCAGATGGCGCTGCTGCCGTACACAAGTCGATACCCGATGCCGTCGCCAGAGCAAATGCAGCTGCTCACGGAACAAGCGGTGGCCATGTATGACGACTTTGACTTTGAATCCGGCGACCACGAGCGCGACGAAGACGATGTCGACGCCATGTACGTCGAAGAGTAGGAACAAAGTACAACAACATTGCTATACTTTGGACTGGTCTTGGTTACACAAATATACACAAATATACTATTAGAGTAAGTACATCGATGACAAAACACATGCACACTGCGAGAAAGGTCGGTCCTTGTGTCGAATACCGGTACCGGTATGTTGACAGGACGGTTAGTATATACATGAAGTACTTCGAAGCATTATTTAAATAATGTATATTTTATTTATTCAAATTAAACTTAGTAGTATTTTAATACTACTAATTTTAATTTGAATAAGCGTAGTATTAAAATACTACGCTTATGCTGTTATTACTGTAATAATAAAAGTATTTACAATAAAACGCTACGTAGTACAGTATGGTGGTGCGAGTCATCTATAAACTACCTGACTTCTATTTCATACTGTTAGTATTCATTACTCAAAATTTCAGCAAATTGAGACATAGAATCGATAGATCTCAATGTGGTGAAGAAATTCTACGTCTCAGATTCAGATTTGGTGATGAATTGGTCCAGAAATAGATATTTAACCAAGCGGTATTTTACATGGGCGTTTGGATGTTTGGCAGTGCCTCCGGATATTATATACGGATCAGAGTCACATACAAAAATCAAGATACGTCTCAGCGGCCACCCTATGCCAGTGATAAAACGCATGAAATCGGTATTTAACGTATTTGGTTTTGGGTTTAATTGTACGTTAAATAATAAAACCTCCACTCTTCGATTTGGCCAATTGGAAGTTTTTAGATGACGTGCACCGTACCACGCTCAAAAAAAGGAGGCCATCATGTATATTAGGCCTGGGTTTGATTAGGCCAGGGTTTGATTGGCACACGAACAAGTCCAATATTACGAATAAGTCCAAGAATATTAAGGACAGTACGTACTGTAGGCTAATGTAAAATGTTTCTCCTTTCTGTCCTCATTGATCGCGTTGGTACTTTGAAACTGAGCATGGAGCTCCTTACGTTGGCCATTGGTGTACATCGGCGTTGCTTGCGCTTGGCCTCCGGCATTGCGATTTGCAGATTGTTGAATTGCATGTTGGTATACCTATTTAAATGTAACGTTAGCCAATTAGAGACACTCTTCGTTGTGATTGGTCTTCGAAGATTCTCGTATTGTACGATGTATTTAACCAATCACCCTACCGGTACATCCCTACTTTGTGCTACAGTCTGGAACAAAATTATAGCCGCACCCCAAAATTTTCAAGTTGACACTTTTGTTTTTATCCACTACAGAAGCCGCTAGTATCATTCGACGCAGATTAAAAAATGATTACAATCTACACTAGCATTACTATGGACGATCAATGGTATTTACAAAAAATGATATTGTGAATTCGCTAAAAACTTCCAAAATTCGCGTGGTTTGTCTAATCAATATTGAATCACGCTGGAGTTCTGATTAGCTGACTATACTTGTCCTTTCTGTAAGAGCCAATTAACAGTCAACGTTAGGAACAAGCGATCTTTTTGCTATATTTTAGTGAATATATACCCGTTTCAATTGAAAATTTGTATGCCAGGTCAGAAATAGAATTGCGCAGCGAGCTGTATAATCAATAGACTTTGAAAGTGAATACCCTTCAAAATATTCTCATCAGAGTATTGGAATGTATGTCAATATTCACCCAACAACATTATAACCTCCCGGGGTTTATAACAAAAGGCAAAAATTGTTTATTCATTTATAGAGGTTTTGTTTAGAAGTGTAATGGAGGCCCTATCTATTTTTATATCTTCTCAAAATCAAATATAGACACAGGAATCGCCAGGTCAATGATGCTTCATAACTCTAATCTCAAACTCATGAACCCATCCATTGCATCCTGCTTTGCCTTTGTCAAGGAAGCTCGACACAGAACGTTGACTCGTGAGGAACGCCTGGACATCCTCTGTCTGCACGCATATTTTCGAAGTCAAGGCACCAAGGCTGCTGCTGCGAAGGTGGCAGAGTTGCTTGGCCGTGGGCTTGGGGTTGTCAAAGAGGTTTGGCGTGAGTACCTCCAATCGCGCTCTGTAACTGTTGCTGTGCCCCCATCGAACACCACGACGCACAGCACGACTGTCCCCAGAACAAAGCAAGTTGTTAGCATGGTTCAAGCATTCGTTCGTGGCCGACGCGCAACAAGGACCCGTACAACTGCTGTGGACATCGTCATCTTCCTGCGTGAGATATGTGTGTTGGACTTCGACTTGGAGGACAAGAAGGTGTACAGCCTCCACCTCCGATCGGTTCAACGCTTTCTCAAGTATCAAGGGTACGAGCGTGGCAACAAGAAAGGGTTATCCTCGTACCATCTGTCCAAGAAGAACACCGTTGCTCGCGACTTGTACGTTCAGCGGATGCATCCTCATGTTGGTTCTGCATCCCGCCCAGCCATTGTGTACACCGATGAGTCCTTCGTCCATCACCACTACAAGTGCCACAACCAAAGCTTGTATCACCCGTCGGACGTGTTGGACGTCGCACAGAAAGAAAAGCACAAAGTGCGCCGGTAGTGCTTTATTGCCGCCATCCTGGACTCGCCAACGATGGACAGCCGTGTCATGGCTCTGGATATTTTCACTGGGGGGACCACCTTGGCTAAAGAACCAAAGGACTATCACGGCATGTTCGACCATGCATACTATGTTGGCTGGTTCCAACGGCTTCTGGACGAGTTGGACGAGATCCGTGTGTCCAACGCTCTCATAGTAATGGACAATGCCAAGTACCACAAGGGGCGTCCTAGCAATACACCACAGAGCCGACATCGCAAGGAGGTGTTGATCGCGGCATGCACGATGTACGGCATCCCAGTGACTGGGACAGAGTTCAAGAGTCTCTTGTGGGAGAAGTTAGCCGCGTACATTGAGACCAACGTTCTGCCCGTTGTCATGACAATGGCGTCGGAGCGAGGCCACACCGTTGTGTATACCCCCCCCTCACCACTCCGACCTGCAACCGATTGAAATGATTTGGGCACTCGTGAAGGGTGACGTTGGTCGACAATACACCGACATGACGAAGTTCCCCGAGGTGAAAACTCGATTAGTTGCTGCGTTTGCAAAGTTGACGCCTCATGCTATCCAGGGTTGTGTGAAAGTCGCAGAAGGTTCACTGCATATGCTTCACGAGCATTTACAACAAATTGATCGGCTGGAGTCCGACGAGGAGTCCTCGGCGGGGAGCGAAAGCGACGATGGTGGCAGTGATAGTGATTAGTTGGACCTCTTGATAAACACTACCCATTAAAATGTATAATTTTGCATTCAATAAATTGTCGAAGGTCGTATACCTCTGTGGTTACATACTTTGTTAAGTTTATAGAGAATTTTTTGGGTCGTTGGTTGCTAACGTTGACTGTAAATCCACGCAAAATTAGATTAGCCAATAGCGTCGATTCGTGATTCGATTCGGCGGCGTGATGCGATTCGACGAGGTCTGGAAATTCGTAACGAATCGACAATAAAACGTGTATTTTACTTGGTGCAAAACTATAGCCGCACTTGCGTTTTTCCACCATATTTCATGTAATAATGCTCTGTTTTAGCCGTAAAATAGGTTAAAATGACGCTGACGAACACCCAATGACATACATATGTTTCAACCACCCATTCGCTAACAACCCATGCCCAGGGGAACCAAACTGACCCCACAAGAGGTGGACCAGGCCCAAGCGTACAAGTCACTTGGAAAGTCCAACCGGTGGATTGTCCATGCCTTGCAAAGGAGCGAAAAGGCCATAAGCAACATTTGGAAGCAGCAACTTCAACCCAAAACAACGAAACGGCCAGGGCGTCGCCTACGTTTTAAGCGGCGCGACATCCGGCGAATATTGCGACTTGCAATTCACAACCCTCGCGGAAGATTGCTGCCACGTTAGATCCACAACCAAGCCACACTACAATCATTCGTATCCTTCGCAGCTCCAAGTTTGCAAAGTATCGGAAAAGAAAGTAATGTCCGCGGCTCACTCCCGCCCACAAAAAAGCACAATCCAATTTCGCACCTAAGTACCTTAATAAACATGATAGGTGGCTCGTAACGATCTTTTGGGACGAAAAAAAGTTGAACTTAGATGGTCTCGATGGCTTTCAAAGCTACTCGAATGAATGTCGAGTCCCCCAAGAAATGTACTCCAAGAGCGTCGGTGGTGGCCAAAGTGTAATGGTGTGGGGGCGTTTTCCAACTATGGAAAGAGTGAACTGGCCTTCCTACAAGGCAAACAAAACTCCATCAAGTACTGTGAGACATTGGCGACTTACATGTTGCCATTTCTAGCGACCGTCCGAGAAATGAACGTCGGTAAATCCGTCGTGTTCCAACAGAACAACGCGTCCATACACGTTTCAAGACATACCATGGCGTTTCTACAAGCTGCAGATGTTTTTATGATGGGTTGGCTTGCTCTGAGCCCCGATTTGAACCCAAACGAAAATGTCTGGGGTGTTTGGCTCGCGCCATTTACGCAAATGGACGCCAGTTCGACAATGTCGAAGATTTGAAGTGCAAAATTCAGTTTGAGTGGAACCGCATCACTCTCGCGTATTTCAGGACCCTCGTGGACAGCATGCCAACTCGCATGGCTCAAGTCATCTTGAAAAGGGGTGCCACAATCGACTATTAGTGCACATATTGTAAGTGCGGCTATGGTTTTGCACCAACTATAATACATTTTTTTGTAAAGCTATTGCTCATCCATAGTAACGCTAAGATTATTTTGAATAGCCCATTTGATTGCAAGATTTACTCCAATAAGGTCTGTCGAGCGGTAGAGCTGTGATTGGCTTAATGTTGAATCACAATTGAACCTCAAGTTGAATTATATTTCTGAAGTACAACTGTGGGCGAGTTCATCCTCGGTTCTCTGTATCGGTAGATACACGGTCTCCAGGCAGCACAAAGAGCGGCGATATCTTGGCCCCATCAGCAGCCACACATGCGACAATCGTGACGTGTGAAGCAGCAGATGACTCCTCGGCGTAAACAACCTTTGTCATACGGTGGACCACAACCTTCCTTGCTGTCTTCGAGGGCGAGAAGCTTGTTTCGTCCATGTTGAAAATTCGGCTTGGGTCCATGTTCACCATTGACATGGAGTGTACG